CACATACAAACATTTCACTGATTTTCCTTTCCAAGCCAGGGGTCTAAGCCACAAAGTTTGGTTTCTTCTGACACATCCCACCTGGATTTTTGTGGTTTCTCACTGCTGAGATCTCCTTTCTTAAAAGTTGTGTGGCTGGCTAACAGACACCTACCCCGCACAAGACCAAAGGTTGTGGCTTCTCACATCTTTCACAACTAACGAAAACATTCGGCTTGCAGCCCACAGTAATAAAAGAGGGGAAAAGAATTAGCTGCAAGACCGCTCAACATCAGCCTTGCATTACCTCAAGGTTTGATCAAATGCTTTCTGTTCTACCACTGTAATTACAAGCTGCCTGGTATGGAAGAGATGATAGGAGACAGCAGCAAATTCCAGTAGTTCAGTAATCTAGCACACCTTAGAAGGCATCCAAGAACACAGTAAAAAACACAAAAACATTAAAACAAATCAAGAACAGACAGTCACGATGTGGTCAACCTCCTCTGCAAACTACAGGAAGGACTACTCCAAGCAAGATATTATATTCCAATGAGTTATAGAACAGAGTTTTGTTTAATCAGAAAGTTACCCAAACTTGTTTTAAGGTTTCTTTGGTATGAGTAACAAGAATGTTTTATAAGCTTTTGTTAGCTACCAAAAGCTTTAAAAAAATCTGAACTTCATTTTGAAACAAACTTTACCCTTCACAATTTACTCTTGCACTTAAACCATGAAAGTAAATAAGCATATCCAACATCTTGCTACATGAAAAGCTTAAGCTTGAGTTCCCATGTGAATGATTTCCTTTTACTTGTATGTACTGAGCCCATCCCTCCTCTTGACTAATATTTCTTTGATCAACTCACTTACCAGGACCCTAGTAAGTTAAAATATCACTACTGATGAGCACGTGTACCTTTCATCCAGTGTGGGTAAAGCTGACAGGATGTACAAACTCAATCAAGATCAATTTGTCAGATGGACGACGAGATTTGCACACCAGTATTTTCCAGCAGATTTATTACACACAGCAGTGACAAGAATAAACTAACAGCTTGAAGGATACTATGGAGTTCAAAACAGACAGTGAAAGGCAACAGTAATGAAATAGTCAGGCATTTGGGGAAACTATGCTTCGTTACATCTATGCTTCCAAGATTAAAGGCCTCTTCAGAAAGGGACTTCCTACACAAAAAAATTCTGATGAGAAGTTATGTGCTGACGAAACAGAACACAATTTTAGTCAAAAAGGAAGTAGTGATGAATAAGCATGGAAAGGAAGCTTTTATATTCACGTTTTCCCTAATGAAGTAGGGTTATGAGCACAGGCAGGAGAGGAAGGGAATGGCACACATGGAAAATAAGTCGGCTAAATTTTAAATAGTGTAGAGGGGCTACCAATAGTTCTAGTGTTGAGGAAAATGAGTGGCAGAATTATTTCAGCAATCTAGGCGCTCATTATAAGCATTTACAAGTTAGCAACTAATCCTATTATAAGGCTATAGCCACCAAAAACATTTAAGTTGGGGGACTTCTATCACAACTAACTCAATTGCTGTCACCATGGGAGCGCACACTTTAAGAGTACTTCAATTCAACATGCTTATGTTTAGAAGTCACCAGCATTCAAGAATGTATAGGAAATTTTTGGAAGTTTAAGTCAACAATTTTAAACAGCTTTCCCTATACCTCAGAGGTACTACATGTACTACCTCTGACACATAGTTTGCCCTATTGTCAGAATAGACTTTCTCTTCACCTTAATACTGTATAAATTCCTTTATTCCCAGAATCATTCCCAAGAGCAAGATGCCAAAAAAGCTAACAGGAAACAAAAGACACTGGATGCCCAAGGCTATAAATGGATACCTTAACATAAAAATATGGGCTGTTACAGGTCAATTTAACAAAAGAAGTCCGCACACAGAGTTAGATTTCTTCTTTACATCAAAATTTCTACAAAATAGGAGAGAATACAATGCAATACACAAGTCCATAAATGCAAGATACAGTACAATTCACACTAATTTACAAATGGTTATTTACACTGTTGTATATACATATACAGTCAGACCTGGTTAATGTAAATTTGGTAAGTCCTTTTAAAATGCAAATCAAGAAGTGTAAATGAAGGAATTTAAAATTATGTGACAAGAGACTAGTCATCATTCAGAAATTTTTAATGCTTAGGTGACCTAAGAAATTAGGCATGGATTAGCCAGATCTGACTGCAGAAATGGGAAGAAAAAAATTCACACTATTCTGCTTTACAAAAGCAACCAGGCCACTATGGTCTATTGACTTGATGCTATTTATGCAAAAATGCCATTACTAATAATCCTCTTTATATTTACAATATAGGTTTAACTACAATAAGAATTATTAATTTTGGCATTCATGCCCTTAGCTTAACACAAAGGCAACAGAGTATCTTCTTGGCAAGTCACAGTCAGAACTACTACAGGATGTTTCTAGAGCTCAGTCATTTTGTCCTCCTTCAAATACCTTAACCTTGCTATTAAAGAGACTGAGATTAATTGAAACAAGTATATCTTCTCTAGTTCGGTGCTCTAGTACCTAACTTACATTCAGAATGTCCTGTATTCACAGTTTCAAGCTACCTTATAATTTGCAACGCTATTGCAAACTACTGCTTCAAACTAACACATCTGTAGATATTCCTTAGCAACTGAGAATATCCGAGTGCTACTGGCTCAAACGGATGTGGAACAAGGCTCAAGGTAACTGGCATTTCATTTTGGAAAAACATTTTACAGTATTTCCTCAGAACTTATCAGGAATTGTTTTAATCTGCACTTGTTTGAAAGAAAGCTGATGCAAAGCAGCATTTAAGTGTGTAAAATTAATTTCAACATGCAAAATGAAAGCCTCTACCAGTACTGCAAAGTCAACCACTGTAACCTGCGATAATCCTTGTGCTTCTTCGAAGTGGCTCAGGAAAAGCCTGCAGTATTTACTATCTGCTTCAAAGTGCTTTTACAGGATTCAGTGGAACTTCACAAGGATGAGATTGAGCTGCACTCATGAAGAGCTTTGGTTCTGCAGAAGCAAGCTTCCACCCCTACAGTTATTGCTACTTGAGCTATACAAACAAAAATACTACTGGAAAAAAAATTACGCTAACTCCAAACTTAAATAGTACTGGTACCTGAAAAGGGAATGTGTTTTGCCAACTGTTGGGAAAGTCAGGATCTGTCAAGTGTTGGATTTCCCAAGAGCAAGTGAACTTCACAGCCTTTTTCAAATATTTCACAAATACAAAGCAACACTGCCAGAAATAAAGCCACCACTTGAAGAAAATAGTAGTAAGAGTTCAAAAATCTTAATCAATCTTACTTCCAAGCAGATCTTGCTGAACTGAAAGGGACTACCAAGACAGAAGGGTATTATTCAACATATATCAATAATGTCAACAGGGAGAAAGTACAGAAAATTAAAGTCTTCAGTGCTTTCGTGAGCTCTAGCAACATCCTTGATAACTGCTACAACTATAAATGTCTGTTTTAGCTATTTGTTTCTATTTAACTACCAAGAAAATGTGTCCGTTATAGTAGCCTCCAGCTAACAAACGTTAACTAAAATGGTTACCTCATTTCAAGTTACAAAAAAAAAAAAAAAAACACAGTTCTCCCATTTGTGTTAGGACTTTTAAGGTTTTGACTGAAGGAAATAAAAAAAATTGGAAACATTCAGAGATGAATATAAGCAAGTTAAGAAGAAAAAAAAAAATCTCAAACCTGGCTTTTGTAAAATAACAGAATGCCATTCAAAATGGTCTTTCAAGGTGAAAATTTTTCATTCACACCAATTTTCTTTGTCCTGAAGCAATCTAAGCTTTTGTAAAGCACATGTGTATATATATATGTGTGTACACATGTATACACATATACACACACAGCAGTGTGCCATAAAGCAATTTTGAACAAATATCTTTGCTGGAGTCTGTACAACAGACTCCCCATAATATTTACTCTTCAGGTAAGTTTGTGTTTGCATGTGTATATGCACACACACAGACTTTGTACATGTGGGCACTTATGTGACCAAAGTGCAAAGTTTTTCAGAGTATAATCAGAGTTAAGTACATGCCTGCCCAACTCCACACTGCACTGTCAGGTTTTATTTTTCTGTTGTGGGTTTCTTCCTTTCCCACCCCCTTTCAGATTTAAAGCCTCTCTTCCATGCAAATTTATACATTGTTTTGTTAAGTAAACATTTTCTTTTCAATTCACATTTTGTAATCCAGACCATTCTTGGTATAATAGCTTTAAGAAATAAGAAAATGTGTGTGATGATCAAAGCCCCATTGTTCAAGTCATATACTTTTCCATATCATCCTTCAAACTGGAGACTTTGAGAAGCAATTTGCTGCTACAGACAAAAAAACACAAACAAAAAACCCCACTAAAAAAACCAGACATACCAGAATCTGCAACTACAGGACCAAGCATTTAAGACTAGAATCCAAGGTTAGAAAATGACAAAGCAGAAAGATGTCAACAATACACGAACTGTAAACTTAAGGGTCTTGCTCCCCAGTGCAACAGGATCTCTGTTCACTAATCTTCAGTTCAATAGTCCATTCCACTAGATACTGCTAAAGCACATCAAATATAGACACCAGAATAGTGTTCAAATTTAGAATCAAGTTTCAAAGAGGAATATAGATTTGAAATAGTGGTCTTTCGCTTTAAAAGCACACTTATTAAACGTGGCTTTCCCACAGAAGTCAGAGATGGTACATCGTCCATCTAACAGTGTGATGGTACATATCCTTAAAGAATCTTACGGCCTCACATTTCCACAGCTTAACACGTCAAGAAGGAAAAATCAAAACGTTATTTATCATTTCAGCAAGCTGGCTGATTCTTACATGAAAGTACCATCATATGGAAAGCTACCTTTTTCTTTTTTTAAAATATAAAGATAATCTTAACCTTTTTCCCTAGTTACACCTCACTGGTGATCTCACAAGTCTCTCATCACTCATTTTGCTTGTATACATCTAAAAGGTTAATACTCTCTGAGCATGTTTTCTTTAATATAAGTTAATGCAACCTCAATAAAACAAGTTGTTAAACAAATCCTTTGGAACAACTTCACTGTCTGCACCCAACTTTTACAAAAACTGATGAAAGCAGCAATGGAATCATGTTAAACTTATAATAAATAATTCACATACAACATATGTTAAATTACAAAGAAGGATTAAATTGCCATTTCTACAACTTTTTATAGATTTAGCAAGTTCCTAATCCATTTTATATCAACAGCAGTACGTATGCTCTTCATATTAAATTTAACATTGAAGGACTGTTCAGAGGCATTATTTATAAAGCAAGAACCACCAAGTGAGCATTACAGAACTTCAACAAATGTTTAGCTTTTTTTCCAGTATCTGTTCTCAGAAAAGATTCAGGGGTTGTCTATCCATGTGGTAAGTTTCTTCCTCTTCATTACTCAGGAAGAGTTAATGTCATGACCTCCAGCTTCATTTTGAAGTACTGGTTAAACCGAACAATCGCATACCTATTCAAAAGGAGAGAGAGATTTGAAGTTAAGAGCAGATAGCTCCTTACATGAAAATAGCCATGCTAGGTAGGACTAGTCAAAGTCCACCTATCCCAGTACCCTGTTTCCAGCATTGACCCTTAGCAGCTGCCAAAGGAAAAAATTAAGAACAGGGCAACCATACTATGGTACTTCCCTACCACCACCCCTGACTCCCAGCTTGCTACAGTTTGCAAAACAGATGCTGTTCCAGGATTATCAAAGGTGGTGTTCTTGTGTTTAATAGTTCTTAAGAGACTGCCCAACAACTGACAACTACAATTCCAGAGAAATCTGATCTTGACCATTGCAAGAATGACATTTCATCCAAAAGTGACAAGTTTTGAGGTTCTATCTCCTGTGCTTTAACTTGGCTTTTTGTGCCATCTAGTGGTTACTAATAAGTACTTCTACTTGAGAAGAATTTGTCACAAATTCACATTTGCCTCATTTACAAAATGACATAACTAAGACTAGTAAACTGGCTTAGTCAGTGCAAAAACTTCTAAAGTGGGATCTTTTACAAAGCTAAATGATTAATTTTATCACCTCACCTAGTCCCCAATGGAGAGATGAATTCCTCTGCTTGTTGCCATGAAAGATCATTTAAAAAAAAAAAGCCAAAGACATACATCTACCCAAAACACACACCATTGGCCAGTATCTCAGGAAACAGAACTTAATATTCATTGCCTTTATGAAGACACTTTAAAAAAGATTAGATGGTCCTACAGGTCCCTTCCAGTCTCACGTATTCTGTATGTAGCAAGCACACTTACCCTAGAAAATCAAAGTCAATGGTGGAATATTTGGCTTGAATTAGAGCCCACAATCCCCAAAAGAAGTGGGAAGCCTGAAAGAAATAAAATTTATTAGTGAAGATCAAGATTTACAGAACATTTATATAAAATCCAACATGTAAACATATTCTCACACTACAACAAAAACTTATCTACAAGAGAACTCTTAAAACCCTATCTTTTTATAAAGTTATTTGATACCTCTTTACAAAGAGATTGGTAAATCAGTATTATAGAATTAATGAATGGCAGAGGAGTAAATCCATTGGCCTCCAGATTCTCCATGTGTCATTTTCAAGAAAAATAATAGATGACCTATTTCATAAATGCAACATTAAGTAGACTGTTGTACAGCTACATACACTATGTCAAAAAATGCACAGGAATATGACTATCATTTCTACTGGTGCTAATTAAATATATATTATTCTACATGTATTCAACTAGTGCAAATACGCAATTCCTTTTGAATCTTTGATTACAACCCTTTGGTCACTGTAACAACTCATTTTCACTACTGACTTGGACAAAGAGATATGATCTATAGCTATGCAAGAGAACCTCTAATTCATCAGCATTTACACAAATTTCTCATCCGTCCCAAACTTGCTTCCATTACGAGTCCAGTTAAGTAGTCTGGAGGCCTACATTCAGTTTCAGATTGAAACTATGGATTACATTAATGATACGATTGTTAGAGTACTTCGAATGAACAAATACATGTAATAGTCATGAGCTTGATAGTCTCCTTGTGGAAGACATTTCTGGACCACCCAGGTTACAAGTGATATACTTCAGACTTCTGTTCAGTATATAACTGCTTACAGCAATTAACTAAATTGCTTCCTGAAGCTTGCATGTTACGTTTCACCAGAAGCATAGCAGACACATGCATGCACACACACCTGAAAACACCTTAAAATGGCAACTACTGCATATACACGTGAATCTTCCTTTTACCTCTAGTTTAGATAATTTCGCCAATTAGTGAGCAGTTTGGCATTTTACACAGGCATCCATTAACTTTGTTCATATTTTCTCTTAACAAAGCTTCCCACATTAATTGACACAAGAGTGTCTGGCAGTACTTCTGCATCTTGTGTGGTCTATAGGCAGGTCTTGAGATGTACTTCAAACAGAACTTTATCCTCTTAAACATTACTATGACCATAGTTTAAAACTGACAAGACAACGCTATATTTTTTAAAATGGACCACCAGACAACTTACTTGCAGATCTAACTTTCCTAAATGAATGGGACAGCTGAATTTAACAGTGACAGTTGATAATAGAGATTTTAAAAGAGTACCTTCAAACAAGCTGGTATTTTTAAGGGCTTTTTTAAATAAACATCTTCCAAGAATGTGAACTGTATTTCCTCACTGCAGTCATTAGCTTTTGCCAGAAAACTGAAGGTATTACAGTAACAGAGGTGTGCTCGGATTAGTCAGAAAAAGGACTGAAATAAGGCCAAACTGGCTTCTTAGCCTTAGTCTTCCTATGACTAGTGTGGCATGTTATATTTCAGGAGAATGCAAAATAAAGTTATCTAGCTATTGAGTAAAAGGTACTTTTGCTGTAACATTTCCTGTCACATCCTCTAGGCAAAACAAGATCAGGGCTAGTGGTAAAACATAAGAAAAATAATGTGAACCTGTAAAGTATCTTCAGAAATCACACAGAGATAAAGCTTGGGGAAAAAAAAAAAAATACATCTTCAAACTGCTTCTAACAGTATACATAATTGGGACATTCAAAGACTCAATGTTGTATCTATTTGACTTCTTATTCTACCTCCATGAATTATATTTGATGTGTTTTTTCCCCTGAAGAACAAGGTCAGATCAAGGACAAAGACAGATCAAAATTGAACACGCTCCATCCTTTCAAAGGGAGAGAACAAGGGAGTGAAGCTTTTACATTCAAAGCCTGCAAAAGACAGACTGACAGACATGAGACAGCTTATAAAGCACAAGATACAGGAGGAGCAGGGAGCAGACTTGCACAGTCAGCCCTCATGCTCTACAGAAAGGCAGAACTTCCCAGGAACCACAGGAGACTACATGTGCACTTTGCTACAATTTAAACCACCAAGGTGACCAAACCCAAATCTGAAAGCAACTCTCTGCTTGTCAAGACACTGCACACAAGGAGAGAGCTACAGTAATACTGAAAGATTTTAGAGCAACTTAATTATCTGGGCAGGGGGCATGGATTTAAAAAAAAACAATAAAATCAAAGTATCCTAGTTTTACTCTAACAAAACTTTATCTTCTCATTTATTTTATCATCTTATTTTAAAAAGGTTTTTAAAGTCAGAAGATTTATAGGTCTTTATGAAGCACTACCTTGCTCTTCTGTCTTCTTAGCATTACAAGTTCAACACAGGCTCACCATAAACTCCAGCCAGCCCAGGAATTTGCCAGACCAATAGAAATACTCACTAAAAGCTCATCTCCTCATTTTCTGAATGCTCACTATCGTCTTTCTTTAAGAATATTCTACAGAGAATTTTTAACACAGAACGTGGCACAAAGTTTCCATAGAACAGGCTAAGGAAGTTTTTCTTTACATGCCACAGCACTCTGAGTAAGAAACTGACAATTACACCTGTCCATAGAGTAGCAGGCTTCTCTATAGCATTTAATATATCCTAATCAAGTATTTGTGACTTACCAGTGCAAACTGATTGACTTGGACATATAGAACTTCAACTTCTTTTTCACTGACGTCTGTGCCAAATCCTTTATATTCTTTGTAGGCCTCAAGGTAAGATCTCAGCCATTGTTCCTGTAATTTTCTGTTAGGATAAAGGCTGTAGTCCACCTCATTTACTCCTAGAAAAAGAAAAAATACCTATTAGAACCTTATGCTGTCTAAAAAGACCATTAGAACCACATTACCGGACTACTTCACCCCTCCCCGTCCCCAACACACACGCGCAAATTGATGTGGATAAACATCAGTGGTTTTGCTTGACCTGACTTTATCCGTGACATGTTGGCAAGAATTTCTCACACATGAATCAAAGCGTTCAACATAGAGGAAGATTTGCACCATATATGTTTTCAGCCACATACATACTCTACTTGTATTCTGAGATTCAACAAGTTTGTCTTTGAGAAGCCTCAAGAAAAAGTATTTGCATTATGAAACAAAAATCATCCCAAACATATCAAATATTGCACATTTCATAGGAAATGGGACTTGTACGTAACAATATCCACGGCTGAATCCAGATGCATATACACTGTCACCAACTAAGCTCGTATTAAATAAAAAATTTATTAGAAGTCTACCCCTCTCCACCACCAGGTATTTGTAGAATTAGAAGCCTTATCTCCATAACCACTGCTTTTGTCCTATTTTTCTTCCTATAATGGAGATGCTTAGTCACAGGTCATATGGAGTCTGCCAGGAGTCTCAAACCCAGATCACAGTTCACTCCCACTAGCTATCATTCCCAGAGGGTTTGGGAATTCTCCTTTAAGTCTTATTTTAAGAACAGTGCAATCCCCTAGCACCTAAATTCTTTCCTGTGTTACATCCACTCAAATCTAGCTTTAAAAAAAATAAATCAGATTTTTACTGAATGGATAAAGACCAGTAAAGGTGAAGCACAACTGTTCTTCATAGGCAAAAAAAAAGTGTATTTATGTGTTTAGTCTTCTGTACTTAGCTCCTTAAAGATGTAGTCAGACTCTGAGAAGTCCCAGATGAAAAATCAAAAGCTCTCAAATATATTTTGTAAATAATGTAACTTGCTTTCCAAATACTTAAATTACAACTTATACAACTTAAATTACTACTTATACACTGAATTTTTTTTCCAGTTATCTACACTTAACATTCAGGTTGTGAAATAACAACTGGTAGATTAAGGCTCCTCTTTTCACCACACTGTGCTTTCCATCTGTGCTAATAATTATGTAGGCTTTTCCTGTTGCCACATCCTCTGAAATAACACAGCATACACTCAAGGCTATTTGTCTCTTATGGAGTAAATGGAATGGGCATTCACTAAAAAAAATTTGAACTAGTTAATGAATGAATCTACCAACACTTTATTCCTAAAATCCACCTTTTTTCTATCACACAGTCTTAGCCTTTACTTCTCATTTTAGGACATGAACTCAAGGGCAAGTACTTCAAAAAACCACATAAGCCTGCTATTTGGAACTGTGCAACCACAGAGCATATTCTCAACATATACCTATGCTGTAAAAGATACATCCGTTGTATTTTATTACAGTGGGCCATCTCTGCTGTGTCTTTTCACAGAAGGATACTGTGAAAGCTGTGAGTTCTGTATTTATCTAACTCTACCGAAACCTGGGACATGACATTCCCATTTCTGGGTTAGCAGAGCTGCAAAGGGCGGGCATAACTGTCCTGCAAGATGACACATCAACACATTTTGATACAATCAAATGAACAGCTATATGCATGTATCTAGATATACAGACAGAGAGAGAGAGAGAATGTGAAAGAATGAGGGGGTTTTTTTAAAACAGTTTACCTTTACCTCAGAAATCCAATTTTTACCTGCAAATTCATTGAAGTGATTTCCAATGTCATAAGCCAGGTAGTTGTATCCAGAGTACTCATAGTCTATGAACTGCACATCACCTATGTGAGACACAACAGCAGCAACATCAGAGTCCACATCAAAGGAAGTCACAGCCCTAACCCTTTGATCTCCTTTGAAGTTTTGGGGGAAAACCAGAACAAAACCACACACCTGTCTTACTTGTGCCCTGTTGTGTGCATTCAGACATTCCAGGGTAAGGCTGTGATTTTTATGATATGAAATTTCCTTGAATATTCATTGAAGAAAGCTCTTAAATAGTTACTTAGAGCTTACAATTCCCTATTTTTAAACTCTGAATAGCAGAATTTCAATTTCAACTTCTTCCACATGAGGGCATCCCTTACCTTCAAAATCAGAAATACAGTAGAGGATCCTTTATTTAAACTTTATGTAGAAATAGCAGATCAATTTTTCCCCGACTTAAAAAAAGAACAGTCTTGTTTATTCTCACACAAGTGTGCAACCACAGTGGACTAACGTTGCAACATGTTGGTATTTCCTTTAACATGCCGATATTTCCTGCTTCCTCCAACCACAAAGACAGACTATTCTTAATTGTTGCTTTTTTTAGCTGGCTTAAACTAGTCTCAAGGAACCATTAGACAATCCTCAAGTCCTCGAAACTATGAAACTTTGCAGTGTTATGTAAACAAGGACTGATAAAGCAGCAAACACAACACAGCCCCAAATGTTTCCAAATTAGGTCTACCTATAATGAAGCTGAGGAAAATACTTCAGCATTGAAGCTCCTCAGCAATGTCTACACCACGTCAAACAGTCAAAAGATTAACAAGATGGATTAGGTAAAACCAGAACTCTTGTATTTTAAGGGAAAACAGCAAAATTACTAAAAACAACAGAAAATGAGGAAATGGGTTAACTTAAGAGCTGTTTGCATTAGAACATTAAAATGTAAAACCTTACATTTCCCACTGCTATGCTGAAATTGGTCATTTTCACAGTTGCACCCTTCTCCCTCTCTATATCCATTCTTTTGATGACTAGCTGCATATTTACTCAAAAACATATTCCTTCTATTACAATGAACAATCTTCTTAGCATGAGTTAAAACGTCTTACAGATACTAATGCTAACTATCAGAACTCCAGCTCAAAATAAAAAATTAAGAGTAATGTCAATGGAACATTATGCATTTCCTAGACTAATGATTTTAAGTGTCTAATATACTGCCTCCTTAAGATTTATGGGTATCAAACATATCAAATACAATAGTTTTGCCAGAAAGATGTCCTGACCAGATTGTCACAGAACAACTTTGTTAGAAGTTGTCCTTCCTATGCAGTTCATCTTTACCATATTCAAAATAATAACACATTAATGCTTTCCAGATGGATAAACTTGTCTAAGTACTTATAATGAAAGTTATAATACAATGTTATATAAGTTATAATGGAACTCATAATCCAAATATACTTATAATACAAACAAAATCATTTAGTTACAATCCTCCAAGTCAGAGTCTACCCTTACTTTCACAGAAAGAGAGGATTGCTTACCAAGGTTATGAGGTTAAACCTTTTAGGCTCTAACAAACCAACATGAAAATGGCCTGCAAAGTGGCAAGCTCCTCCCAGGAAAATCTTCTTGGCAATGGAAGACTGAGGTTCTCTAGAACTCTGAAGGGACAAGAAATTTTACAGCAGCTGCAGCCAAGATCTTGTAATACTGTCACAGATTAATTTCTGCCACTGCATGACTGGCAGATTCATACACTTGCGCTTCCCACTGGTTCTTTAGTACTACTTTTGAAAAGAAACACCTGTAAGTTACAAGCCAGTCAAAATGCACAGCCCAACCCTGGTTAATATCCTGCTACACAACTGATCTCCTGAACCCCCCCTGCCCCCCAAACATTTAATATTGCTTGTATTTAGGTTTTTTCTTCCTTCCTCACATAAAATATAAACACAGCAGGTAAAAGTCTGCTTGCAAAACACCAACACAAGAAATACTTTAGATTTTTCATGTGTAAATTTCATCCTGAAGTTTCATCTATGTGCTCTTATGCATTTTTAAGTACAGCTAACATTTAAAACTTACTTCCAGATATAAATAATATTACATACAATAAGAAATTGAATCTAACAAGATATGCATGACCCTGTTACTAGGCACTCTCCTATGGGTAAATGCATGTGAGCAAGTGACGTGAAAAGCCTTCAGTCAGTGCACAAGCAGCACGGTGCATGGCACCACAAGGCAGCAAAAATGGCATACCCAATCTGTAGCAGATTAAGAAAGTTTGGCAAACTTACATTTGATAAGACAAAAGTTCAAAGTGAAAAAGTCCTGCATTTTTACTGATCTTTTTCAGACTCATGCTACTGTGGAACTCAACCTTAAATTTAATTTTTGCATGAAGGCTCAAAATAAAGATGCACAGTTCTTTCTGTGAAACTGAAAGAAAGTAGAAAACTTTAAGTTTGCCACTTCACAAATGCATAACGGATATATGTCCCAGCTACCTTGTTTTAGAAGAAGCAGAAGAAACTTTGCATTAATTGTTTAAGTATCCATAGTATTAGAAGTTACTTTTAAGATTTACTGCAGTTCATATGGGAAAGCCACTTCTAAAAGATATGGCTTACATTAGTAGTTAAGCGGCTAGCTTTTGTTTTGAGATTTCTAATAAGCACAAAGAATTTGTACATCCCACTGACATCACTGGGGGCAAGTACACCAACAAGCCTAAGCACATTTGTATTTTATTGATGTGAGGCATGATTCAAAACTAAGCTCTATCATCTCTCTGGAGAAGCTACTGTTATCAACATGAACATCAAGAGTATTGCATATTTCCAGTTGAAACACATTCCTGTCTTCCAGGGGTCTCCTAATGTAGACAACATGCAATGTATCTACAAAACCCACATAAAGATACAAAATGGAATATATGTTGTGTTCCATACACCAGAAATAGATTTTTTTTTTTAAATAGATCAAGTAGTAGCCAACAGAGCATCTGCTAGATCTCCTTAGGGAACTGAAAGGTGATGACACCTCTCTTTCTCACTGCTTTTCACTTTTAATGGTTTAATAAGGGAAGCACTTTCAATGTGCAAGTCCTAGCTGTAGTTACCACAGCAGAATGATGTATCCTGAGTTCCGTCCCATCCTGCTCATCAGGTGAGCCACTGAGGCCCTAGAAGACAGCTTCAGTAAAGACAATGATCTATGCTATGAACATACTTGAAAATTCACAAACGGGTCATACACCCAAAGATAATTTTAGCTATTAATACCCAATATAGCTTTGCAAAACAAAATAGGTTTTTAGATCAAAACCAGAAGCCTTAAACATACCTCAGTCTTCAGAAGCACTGAGCACCCACAGACTCCTACCAAAGATCATAGAAAACATTGGGTAGGCAGAGGGAATAAACAGAACAAAACTAGCCATCTACCTACACGTTTAGCTTCCTGGCAGATGATTTTAATACATTCAAAAAGAGCACATATAGATACAGACAAAAGAATACTGATAATTGGTCTTATTGAATAGCAAGTATTTGAATGCTTTTAAAACATCAAGTATTTTTGGAAAGTCCCAGGTCACACTGGGAAAGAAAAAACAAAAAACAAACCACAAGAGCATCAGACTTTAAGAGCATCAGAACACAAGGTCTATAAATAAGCAGTACCAAGCATCAAGTATATTTGGACTATCTTGATGTCCAAATTGTAATTAAAAGCAACATGAAGCTCCAAGTTATATCCTTCAAAGAGCAGATGACACTAATTATAAGTTATGTAAAGTAACACTTCCAAACGTTCATATCCTGAGTGACTGAAAACGGACATTAACAAAACAGCAAGAGGGAAGAGTTCTCTCAGCCACAGCATGAACAAATTCAAATCAGATGAGAGAAACTCCATTAAATGAAGCTAGCACTCAACATGCTATTCCAATCTCAAATAAAATTTAAAGACAGGAGACCAATTCTTCTATGTGGCACAACCATGATTTTTCTTTCAAGTCTGAAAACTTAACGTGAATTTAATTTAGAGGACAAGTCTAAAGCAAAGGACTGGGACAAGTCATAATCATTCTAACTGCATTGGACAGGAGTCCTAGTACTTGTTGATAGTCTGTAGCTTAAACACATACACCCACCCACTCCGTGTCTAGTAAATGTGCAAATTAAGCATTCACAAACAACATAAATACAGTGTTGCTAAAACCAATAAATTAGTTATTTTGTTTGTGCCAGCTTCTGAAAAGCCAGATAAACACTACCAACTTTGCTCAAACTTTACTGAGAAAAGGAAAAAGAGTTCATCTAGAAGACCAATTCTCTCTTAATTCCAGTTTAGGATCTCCAAGGTCTTTTTGATAGACAGAAGCCTTTCTAGATGGAAGAGTAAATTTAGTAAGATTACAACATCAAAGTTGTTAAACTACCTTCATACAGTTTGACGTCATTCCTAATGAAGCACATCTTCAAAGATTCTACTTTGTGCTCTTGCGAAATTATTTGTATACCAATAAAAGCTTTTGCTCTGCTAAACAGAATTCCAGCAATACACATTTATTTACAGTTAAAGCTGAGCTTCCCCTTCTAAATCATGTTCCTCATTGTAATAACAGATTGTTATTTTTTGCTCTGTAAAAAGTATATTACAAAAAACAGCTTTCAAACGAGAAATATTCTTTCTACAGATGGCATTGAGGTTCGATTACTATGAAAATGGTACCTGCTGTACCCAGATTGCAGAAGTTTTACAACACAGTACATGTGCAACATTCAAACATAAGTATAATAAATATATTTCATATTTCCAAGTCTTTTTTCCCCCCAGCTGTTTACAGCTAGCTTGAAGACAAAGTACTTTACACACACCTCCCTCCTCCCCACCCTGTCCCCAAACACTAAGCACTCACACACTCGTTATTGTAGGATTGCTCATAAGTGATGCACTGCTGGCATTGTTTTTTCCTCCATTCTGTTTACAAAAGAAAAGCATATAGCATTCGTTTTTAAAGTAGGAACTTTAAGCTTATTGACCATGATAGTGAACCTTTTAAAGGAATTCCTCAGATTCTTTTTGCAGCATGGTTCTACTATGAAAAGTGACCACAAAAATTACTTTTATCTCAATGGGTCTGCTCTGGAATGCTAAAACTCAAGATAGTTCCAGCACTGAGAAAACCCACACAGTAAAATTAGATTTATTTTTGGTAGTACAATATCACAACTCCAATGTGTGTAACCACAAACTGATTTTTTTGCATACCTTCCATGCTTTTTTCTTCCCTCCTCGTCTTTTTAAGTAGAACTATAACCCACCATTGAAATTAAGTAAAACAACTGAAGTTTGGTATTGAATTCTTAGAATTTAAAATTTATGTTAACAGTGTTGTACAGGTGTGTGTATATATATGTATATACCCATATAACTAGAAGTACTAGCAATTCCCTTCAAAAGTGGTATTACTCAGAGGGAAACTTGTATACAAACCACCAAAGACTTTATTTTCTCAATTCACATTCATTCAGTGCATATCTGATGCAGACATTGGTTATACATATACAGCCAGTTTTCACACTAGAACCAACTCCAGCACATTTTTATTAGTTTTTATCTAGAACTTAGGGCACATAAACTTAAGAGGTCAAAGACCAACGATGACTGATGGAGAAGACTTCAGTTCCATTCAGTCATTTACTTCACACAGTTTTGGCTTGCATACCAACAATCTTATCAAACTGTCACAAATATGAAGCTACTAGAAGGAATATGTCATCCTCACTTCAAAATAAAATCTTGACCTAATCTGATTAATTTGTTGCACTCAGCTGAGCTCAGATATTTGAAATGGCAGGAAAATTGTGCATTTTTACTGCACAATGATCATTTAAGTGTCACAAGTTCGCCTTTTTTATTTGTTTTAATCTCCTGTTTGATTCACTTAGTAACTGAACCTCAAACCACTGAAATCGAGAAGTAAAAGAAACTGTGGGTTTATAAGGAAGATTTATAAATTTTAATAAAGGTATTCTTTAATAACATGAATTACGAGTTAAATGTATTATAATAAAAACAAAGTAATTCATCTTTGCTAAGACATGTACTGCCTACAACTGTTTAAATAAAGCATGTATTTACAAAAGAAATCTATAAAATGCCTATGTACCTCATGCAGAAAATAGAGTCACTGAACGTAGTATTAAGTATCACTAAGATACTTCATTATGAAAGTGTCTTCCCATAATCACAAACCAGAACAATACACATATTATAGGGGACAGTGTCTTCAGGTTATTTTCTATGCTTGTATAATTATTTTTTTTTTGCCTTCCTAAAAGCTTTATACAACTAGAATAGAATCAACATGAACAATTACATACTTTGAAGCCTAGTCATACAGGCAGGCTAGGGATTAACAAATTCATTAATTCATTAAAGAAAAGCAAGGAACACCAACATTCCTCCTCTGTACAGTAACATACAGATGAGAATTAGCTAATTAACCAACTTAGTATTTGCACAGATATCACTACCATTACATTGGGTCTTAAAAGCTCAAACGGAGTTCACTTGAACAAGTCAGTAAAATGACACCACTGATGCAGCAAATGCAATTACAGCAAACAAAGCCACTCACTACTTACTGTTTAGTTCAATACCTACCTCGTTTCTTGTTGTAAATAATATTCTTACACAACAGGTCATTGTGACAGAGTACCACTGGTGATCCTAAATTCGACAGTCTTTCCTTCATCCATGCCATCTCTTCCTGAAGAACTTGAGAACTCGGAATGTCACTTAAAAACCTTTTCAGGTGTAGAAAGTTTGAGAGTTAATATTTAGTACTGTGTATTTCATACCAAGTGTTCGTAATGAAATAACTTAGTTTCCTCTAGATTCTTATTGCAAATAAGTCAATAGACCTCCTCCCAAACCAGAGCAATCTTTCCCCTGGCATAACAGCAGTCAAATTACGACAATTATCTCCCTCTGTCCTCCCAAAAAACCAATTCTCTGAAGATTATCTGTGCTGTAAACATGACAGTAGTCCAAGAATGAGGAGAAGAACTTGAATACAATCCTACACATTTTTAAAGGAGTAAAGATTAAAAGGGTTACAAGTGAATGAAATTCCTGCTTTTGTTCACATTACATACTTCCTTCAAGAAGAATACACAACAGTAAGTACTAAGTACTATAAGCATCTATACAGAGGAAATGAAACATTTTTAGTTCTAGTCACAGTAAATATGCTTAAGTAGCCATTTTATCTTCTAGCTTTTCAATGAACTACTCAAGTTCCCAGCTTTAAGAATTTTATGTTGTAAAAGAAAATAATTCAACTTTGCTAGAGCCTTCTTTAATTACAATGCAGCAAGAAGGGTAGTTAGCACCAGTGATTTCAAAGAAGTTTCATGAAGAATGTTTTTAAGCTGGAAACTGCTTCCTGAGTGATACGAAGTTTGATGATATTGTACAAACACTTCCAAATAGCAGTTTTAGCTTAAAAGTTTGAACACATCACCCCAAACAGCCTTTCATTAACTTAACTTTTATGTCACCCAATTTTGGACAAATTTATAAAGCTGAACAAATACAAGACAGCTAAGAGGTGCAGGTTAGAAGGAGCAAGCAGTACTCCTGCAACCCCAGGAAACACGCTTTTAGTATTCACCCGAGAACATAGGTGTCAGTTTGAGAGTGACGGTTCTCAAAAACTGTTGAGACAGCTACCTGAATTAGTATGTGACTTGACCTTGGTTCTTTTTAAAAGACTAAACTACCATAATTTAAGTGTCCAATCAAACCAAGAGCTATGTATATACACACACAATACACCAAATGAATTAAAAGACTCTTCTTATATTTGACATATACACAGCTACTTCAGTATACAAGAGCATGACAAAACTCAAAATTCTACAAATTTAGGTTTGCATTACCACATAACGTTATTTTTTCAAATATTCTTCTACCCCTCAATCAGAAGGAATGGGAAGTCAGCAAAGCACATAATGAAATGCCTACCTTTTATTTACTTCCTCATCTGCAAATTCTGTGGGTATGAGAGAGAAGTATTTCCCCATCTTCAGCCACAAATTAGACTTAGGGATCCATCCATTGTGTGCATGAATAGTATGGATTTTAGCAAGCTGTCTGGCAATGAGTCTAAAAATAAAGTTTAAATTATTGTTACACCTAACGTATATCTGACAGCCTTCATCATATTTTGCCTAGCGACAAGACAACTACAATATATTTAACAGAAAAATTGTAAAAAATGCAGCAAGGGAATCCAGAGAGGGTTTAAACAAGAGCAGAACAGCTATAACGTAGCATCCTTCAAGGTCACTAGCAGCACTACTTGAAGAAGGGGAGGCAGGAAGGATTGGAGTTCAGTTAAAGCATGCATACTTCACCTGAATTTACAGTCTACTCAAACTTGCTTATCTTTAGAAGAGTTGACTCAAATTAGCCAGTGTTGTCAGGCAAATACATTTCAATGCATACATTAAAATCTTAAGACATCAACGCTTCCTGTTCACTCCTAATAGTTTAAAAAAATTATGTCTCAATGGAAGACTATCTTGAAACTATTCACAAAAGGACTGCATTAGAAACAGAGCTAGGAGTACTTGCTTTAATCAAGTCCAGCCCCCTACAACTCCACCATGTTAAATGATCTCCCTAATGGTAACATGTAAGTGTTCGATACTCACAACAAGCAGCTCTCTAATGAGTATATAGTCTTCTGGGAAGGCAGCAAGGATCATTTGTTCAGCACTGAAATACCATGATAACTAAGACAGAGGACAGTGAGCTGTCAAGAGTGTGAACATCAACTTAGTGCAGGCTTAAAGAAATATTTCTTTTCTGCCTGCTCATAAACTAAGCTCGAGATCCTTTGGGCCTGACAGAACACCATAAATGCATCATAGAACTTGAATAATGGAATAATAATAACAAAGAAAAAGCTTACCTGAAAATATCTGGATTGCATACATGCTCTGGATCCAGTGCTTCTCCCTGCATGAACTCATAGCACAGGCCGTTATTGAAAGTACAGTATAGTTGAGGTGCGCAGCCATGGGCCTGCAACACGCGGAAACTCTTCACTTCCTCATCTCGATCTACTAAGAGCTCGGTCTTATTTCCATAGATCCTAACCAGAACGACATCATCTGTTATGTCACCCACGTAGCAGCCAATTAATTTATTGGTGATTCCATCAGTGAACAGCTGAAAAATAAAAACAATGCATAAGTAACCCAGATCTGCAGGAAAAAAATGCAAGGTTATTCTTTAGTTCACAAAACACAAATGTTTACTAGATTGAGCATTAACAAAAGAAATCTTTAGGATACAGGAAAATCACGAAGAAAACTGCAATTATTTTTATCATTAACACATTAAAAAAAAAGAGGAAAATGTGAAAACATGCTACAGTGAACTACAGAAATACTACACGTCAGAGGCAATAACTGAAAGCTCAATATTGTAAAATGAGTTTCCACATAACTACTCTGAAACTGATGGATTAAAACGCCTGAGATCAAAGCCTCAACAAGGCAGCAATCCTAAACCAGTGTGGAAACAGTCATGAATACAGTCAGCACAAGAACAAACCAATTTTGATGCACTTCAGAATTCCAGCATTTGCTAATCAGTGCAAAACTAGTAAAAGATACTCCTGGCGTTCTAAACTACTCCTTTTAAAAAGCAAAAATTCAGGCCAGAAACAGTTCAAGTTCAGTGGTTATCATCTTCCCACTAGCCTTGAGGTTTTACTGATTGAGAACAATTCCTAAGCCACTTTGGCTCCTCTACAAGTTTGAGACAGTACTTAAAATTCAAGACCCTAGCCTTCAGCCTCAAGTATCATTCCAAGTTCAAAAGCTTCTGACAAGACCCATTATCCTCCCATTTTACTTCATAACTGGTACACACCATGTAAAAGATTAAAAAGGCATTTTGAGTCCTTACCATTAAGATGCATATAAATGCAATTTTTAAAGCCCTGCAATTTACTAGACTTTGACCACTCTCATCACTGATGCCCAAACACACTGAAGATGAAGCAAGTAACTCTCTACAGAAATAAGTATTATTTGAGCATTATGTTTACATCTAATGACAACCTACTCCCTGCCTTTCAAATAATGATATTGATATTACAAGTTCCCAGCTATGGAAGGGGGGGGAGGGGGGGGGCAGGCACGGATGAAACACCCCACACACACACTCCTTAGCTACTGCTGCTTCTTTCACATTTGATGATTAAGTCTAAAATAGTCATTATAGACTCTTGCAGATGCTACCTGACAAGCAGACTAGATCCTGAGTTACAGGCTGCACGCACCCAGCTGCATGTAGTCAAGCATTTGAAATCCCACTCAGCCTGCAAGGGTAACACAGCAGTTCTTATCTCCTCCTACAGTCCAGGACGGTTTTACAGCTCAGAAAACAGATGTTCAGTGCTTTCAAACTCTCACTCTGTCAACTCAGACTCAATGCTTAGCAACTTGCTAGATGAGCACTACCCATATTAACTCTAGTTGATAGGTAAGTGACTGAATGCTAAGCTATTACCATTCTCAGGTCACAAGCAACACTGCCAATGTTTTCGTAACTACTGAACAGTCTCCTGCAGTCTTAAACATAAGTAGTAAACAATTGAAAGTCAAGATTCTCACAGAACCTGAATTTATATTCAAGTATGATTTTTTGCGTGTGTGTTTACAGTCATGTCTCTTCTCCCACTTTGTTGCCCCCAAAATCCCAATTAAAACTTATTTAAAAAAGAATAAACCCTCCCACAAAGCACAAAACCTCCTTTCAGGACTTTGCAAGAAGTAGCTCCAAGTAGGTTAACATACACAGTTAGACATACACAATTTTCCCTTGCGTGGACATCCCACAAGTTTAACTTAACACCTTTCTTTATCATCATTAACTCTCATTTAGTTAACTCTTCTGGCATATGCACAAGAGACAAACGGAGATATAGTCTGATTGCCTTTCTTAGAACTTTTTTAAGGGTCCTTGAAGCTGCAAGCAACTTTCATTTAAAGGCAACATGAAGACTCTGGATAGATTTTCTTTTTTTTTAATCCCTAATTAGAACAGAAGTCAGAAAATCAGCTGAAAAATTAAATGTATTTATCAGAATTAGAATATTAAGTGTTCAATGGCAACAGTTCAAATTCCTTATTCACTGATGTCCATTCACACATCCTCCCACATGTCTTCTCCCTCAAGCCCTAAGTCAGGCCCAGAACAAAAATACTGACAAATGGAGCAGTCTGTTGCATTTCAGATCTTATACTAAACCTTAACATTTAAAGAAAAAGTACTTTTATTAAAAATAAATGTCAACAACAGGCAACTTCTCTACAGTCATCATCATTCCTTAGAACCTTGGATGGTTTGGGTGGGTTTTTTTTGTTGTGGGTTTTGGTTTTTTGTTTTGTTTTTAAGCAAAACAAAATTCAGAAACATTGGCCTTTTTTTTCTCCTCTCCAAAAGGTAGCCTTTATTTTGAAAGGTAAAGTAGTATCATTCAAATACAAGTGACAGTTTATTTCCAAATCTCAGGGGTTTCAAGAAATCAAGCACTAGGAGCAATTTTCTTAATTCCTAAAGAAAAAAATTATGAAGTGAGGTCAAATCTCCCCATTTAGGAAAAGCTAAGACTTTCACAGTGGGAGAGGCTGCATTTTAGCTATCATGCCTTGCTTCTCAGCACGCCTATGTGATGAGGTGAACAAACTCATCAATAAATGCAGAAAAGGACTGCAGAAGCTTTAGTTGTCATTACAAGTAACCAGAAATAGCTCAAGTTCCTGAGGAAAGATACAGAATAGCAGAGGATACAAAGGTACTCCATTTTCTTTAAGTTACAAACACTCGATCTTGCAGAAGCAGGTTCAGCAAATCATATACCTTTCATCTACATGGGGTAACCATAAATTCAAATAAACCTGCTTACAAAGCCTCCTTGACTTATTCAAAATTAAGACCTTACAATTTATGGACACATTTTATTACTAGCTATTATTTTAATAAAACCAAATAGAAGACAAGTAACAGGGAATCGTGTATTAATGTCTTTGTAGCAACTAAATGTTACAATATTAATCAATGCAACCAAGAAAACTATACTTACAGATACTAGTTTTCACATTAAAAAGAATACAACTGTACTCTAATGCTATCCTATTCTTCTGCTTGACACCTACACAGATGTTTTAAGTTTTCTCTGTGTACATAAGCATATTGTTGCAACAACGCACATGCTATATCAAGAGAAGGATGATGTGCTTGAGTAGTGTCACCTAATTTGAACAAGCAGGACTTAAATGCATTTCAAGTATGTCTTGTAAATCACAAGTTACACCTTTGCAACATGTTCATTCATAACATTACCCCTTGTAAGTGAACTATTTAGATCAGAAGGGACCTCCTGTGATCATCTAGTTCAACCTCCCTGGTCAAGCAGGGCCAACTAGAGCCAGTTGCCCAGGACTGTGTCCAGTGAAATCTTCAGGCATTCTGGAGACTCTACAACCTGTCTGGGTAACCTGTTCCAGCACTTGACCTCCCTCACAGTAAAATAAGTGTTTTCTTGTGTTCAGATGGAGTTTCGCATGTGTTTCATTTTGTGCCCATTGCTTTTGTCTGACACAGGGCACTGAGAAGAGTCTGGCTTCCTCTTCTTCATTCCCTCCCATCAGGTATTTATATATATTGGAAAGACCCCTGCAAGCGCTCTTTTTTCCAGGCCAAACAGTCCCAGTCTCTCCTCATATGAGAGATGCTCCAGTCCCTCAGTCATCTGCATGGCCCTTTGTTGGACTTGCTCCAGTGAGCCTGTATCTTTCTCATGCTGGAGAGCCAAGAACAGGACACAGCACTCTAATGTGGCAAGTCAACGCAAAAGTACTGATTTTCATACATTTTAGCATAAAATCAGAATTAACTCTTTAAACTTTTTAATGAGCACTTTGTAGAAGTGATTTGTGTTGAGTTGTCCATGAAGTTAAAAAGTATTTTGTCTGCCATACTTAAATGAAAACTTCTGAAATGTAGCATTAGAAAAAGCTCTTACTCTGTCATTGCAGGGCTGAAAGAAAAGTGAAAGTTCTGTTGAACTAAGGGGAATCAAAACTACTAAATATAAAATTCTCCACCCCCTCTGAAGAAAAAGAAGTCTATTGTCTTTATCGAATGGCAAAGGTTGCAAACAAAATAGGCAATAATTCCCAACATACAACAGTCCTATTTCAAATCACTGGAACTTTTGCTACCATCTTCTACCCCTTCCAAAACAACCCTCTGATTAAGCTTGCCTTTCTCACCATACAAAATTGTACTATGAAAAAAACAAGGCTTAAGGTTATCAGAAATAGTGACACTATTAAAAAAAAGAACAGACCTTAAGCAGTGCGGATGCAAAGAAACAGTAAGAATTTGACTTGCTTATGCCAAAACAGAAACTTCTGGCCACGGTACAGCTTTTGTCATACTGCACAGGTCCATTATCCCCTTAAAACAAGTCTCATTAGTGTTAATAAAAAGAACTCTGCAATAAGGAAATTGGACTCCCTCAACTGATAATTTAGGAACTCTACTTCTGATTAGCATCTATTTGTAACATGCTGCTATAAGTAATTATTTACACCCAGGTGCATTTTAGTTATTGCTTCTTAAAAACGCAGAAAGGTTTGCTTACTTTTGTAATAACATTCATAGTATACAATTTCCATATTTCATTGTAAGAAAGCATCTAATGTTTTCTACCAGTAAAAGAACATAATACCTTATTCTTTTATTCAAAATGCCTTTACCGTAGCATTTAAAGAACCAGCTTAGAATGCCTTGCCTGAAATGTAACCTGAGACATAGCAGAGCAAAACAGGAGTTCTACAACAAAAGCATCAGTTGAACAGCATAAACACAGAATGGACTCTGATGACATGGATAAGATAATCAGTGAACTCTCAAAGCCATGTGGAAGAATCTACAGAATGTTATGAAAAGTAGGTAGAAAATTCTGGAAATAAATCTAAAAATACAGATAGCCAATGGAAGTCAAGAACATGATGCAACACAAAAAAATCCAGCTGCAAGATCCTAGTACTCTTCTAATCTGCACAAATTTAATTACTGTGATATGTACTTATCACACTGTAATAAGTACTTTCAGCTGAGGTGACACAAAGCTAAAACTAAATTCTGAAAACATTTCTGGAAATGGTATTTATACTGGCCCACAATCCAGTCACGAGGTCTAGCTTGAAGGCAAGGCTTTCTAGCTCTTGGGAACAAATAGAAACTCTTTACTGAAATGCAGAGCGAAGGTGAGAAAGCTACAAATAGTTTGAGTTACTCAAATGCAGTCTCAGTAAGAAGTATGTGGTAGAAACAAGACAGGCCAAGTGAGTCCAGGAAGAAGAGAGAAAACTCAACCAAGATATGAAGCATCTTTGAGACAGAGTTCACCCTAAAAGCACTCTTATCAGCAATGATCGGGTTATTAGATTTCTGAAAAGGGCATGTGATGGGTATGTTCCCATTTGATAAGCAGGTGGTTCAAGAAAAGCTTATATCTGTTCAAGGTGTTCAAAACAATGAGAAGAATGAGAACAAAATTACAATCACATGTAACAAGCATGAACAGGCAGAAATAGCGTCATGGGGCAAAGTAGAAAGCAATTATCACTCACAGAAGAGCTGTAAAACCAAGCAGATTTTTTTCCTTCTAGGCTGTTAGTACATCCATAGGAGGAGAAATATAGAAAGCAGTATTGTACCACTGTAGAAACATAACTATGATATGAAATTTCAGCATAAATAAGTCGGGATTCCCCTGATTCTGCTGCTGAAAAAAACCCCAGATTACACATTAAGATCTCCAGAAAAGAACATACTTCTAATATATGCTTCTTTAATGCTCACAAAACTTCAAGTTCATATTTTAAGATGTAACTTCACTTTTTCTGGAAAGGTATAGTCTATACAGGCACATCCACAAATATACATCTCTCAAGAACTTAATCTCTCAAGGCTAGTTATTTCTCCATTTCTTCGTTCTGTAGCTATTCATAAAATAAGGACAAAGTACAACTACTGGAAAATGCAGGCCTTAGGTAAATTCTCATATATTGAGGAGGGCTTACAAGAAACCTCATTTAGAGGTCTCCAGGTTCTGGAGCCAAATCCTCTAGATCACTACACTCCGCAGGTGAAAGCCACTGTCTATGTGATTTTGGCGGTCAGATGACCACGAACAAGACCATTTGGTGTTAAAAGTACCAAGGCTAGCAGGGAGTCAAATAAGTGAATGGCACCATTCTATGGGAAGTTTGGCTGTAGGCTGAACTAGCAGCTTTCTACTGAACTCTTGGGGTGCTCTGCCATGACAGCAGCATGGAGAAACCAATGCCACCACTACCTATGCTATATGGTATCACTTATTTCCTTGGCTACCAAACCATCAATCCTGCAGCTTCAAGGAAGAACTCGGGGGGAGGAGGTGGGGTTTCATGGTGTGTGCTTTTTTTTGTTTGGGGTTTTTTTTCCTTTAGGTCTTAACCGAAGTTTCATATCCTCCATATTCTCAATATAAATACAATTTAAAATTACACTCAATAGTCTATTATAAAACACTACAGATACGTCATCCCTTGCAAGGACTGGTTCTGATCTAAATGTGTGACAAGATGAGAAAGCTTTTTTTTATGCCAAAAGAAAACCCCAAAGAGAAATTACATATTTCTCATCTTGTTTGTGAAGAATATTCTCCTACTTGAAAACAGTCAACATCAGGTAACTAGCTAAAACTTTTAAAGTGATGATTGTTTTAGATCTTTTTACAGATTTTGTGATACTGATGAAAACAGTTACAGATAAATCAAAAAAATTAAGCTAACAGAAGAAGTCTAAGACTTTATTGTAACTCAAAGAATTAAGTTTGCTGTT